TAAGTTTATAGGGGACAAGGATGACAGGGAATAGAATCTAGGTACTTCTCACAGCAGTTCAGACGATTAGCCTGGGATACAACGAGATCTGAAATTTTCAGTGTAATATTTTATCAAATAAAAACTGTTCATTAACTAAATCGCCATTAAATATATATATATATATATATATATATATATATATATATTATAGTAGTTCCAACGAGAGAAGAGCGAGTATAATAAAAAGAGAGAAACCACAAACGTTTTTGGTTGTAATGTGGATTCTTTTAAAATATATACGTTTCATTTTCCATAATTTTGCTACACGTGTTTCCGGTCTCGCGACTTTCATCAGGCAAAGAGTGGATATTTCCACATATGATTAAAAGGAATTTTATGTTTTTTCGATGTTAAATATTCTCGATATTAGACATTTTCTTTTTTGTGTGTTAGTGACCCAAGTGTCTTTCTTGAACTGGCAGTGAAAGAATTCTGCGTGAAGGGTAATAAAACAATTAAGACTGGTCTGAGAAAGGGTGAAGAAAGATATCTATATTATCTTTTAATGACCCCTGTGTGTTCTTACATCTATTTCCATTTTTATGTGTTTTTGTCGGCATGCGTGCATTCCCTCGCCATATATACATACTATCTTATAATAAGGAATTAGTATACACATATGTACACACAACACTTCCTACGTTGTTCGCGTGTGTGCAGTTTTGTTTTTGTCATATAGATGTTTCATTAAAAACGAAAGAGAAGATACTACGGTTAAGTTATTTAATTTTTCTTGTGTTCGAACAAGAGCTTTTTCTGGACAAAGGGTGTGTAAAAATCCAAATGTTTTAGAGTTCCGAGCGCTTTCGGCTATACCTTTAGCCATTAACAAGAATGATTCAATTTTTCAGCTTAATTGAGTGTGTGCATGTTTTAGAGATTTTTTTTTTTTTTTACTTTCGGAATGCGGTTAGCACATTGTGGGCTAGTTAGTAAATATTGCTAAGAGTTGGCTTTTTCACACATAATATATATATATATATATATATATATATATATATATATATATATATATATATATATACACGTAAATGTACATGCGCACTCCCTAAAAACAGTATTGAGGAATGTGTAAGACAGAAATGGAAAAAGCTTATTTTCATCAGACTGGGTTTGTTGACGTTGTGGCTACACATGCGCATAAACGGGAGAATTTTTGCAATTCATCTATCATCTTTGTTTCTAAATATCCGACATTGTGATAAGAGAAAATCTGCCAAGGATGATGATACGTTCTAAGAAACTGTACGTCAATTTACTCTGGTCGAATTAGCGATTAAAACACTTTCTAGACATTTTCGTCTTGGTGAATACAAAAAAAAAAAAAAAAAAAATCAGACAAGCCATTCTATGTAGCCTTTTTAGAAGGATAGGTGCACGACTTATTAAAAGTTAAAATATCCACCTAAAAAAAAAAAAAAAAAAATGGCTGTTTATTACATTTGTTTACAGTCAATATAGTGTAGTATAAAAATCTGTCCTAAGAATTTAGGATCAAATCACAGCAATTCCACTCGCGAAAAGATTTCCATATTATCTAATCGACTGATTGAAAAGGCAGAGAGAGATAGAAACCCGAGATATTGACGCATAACTAATTTGGTCACTACAATTTAGGATGAAACGTGATGAGAACACCATGTAACTGGATTCAAATAAAAAAAAAATTGCCAAATTCAAACTGATAAAGCGCTATTTTTGTCAATGTAGGTTCTAATCTTTCAGAATGATGCTATGATTAATCCCGTTTTCTGCTGTTTAAGCGAATTTACATAAATCGGACAGTGACGGCTAATCAGCAAAGACCCAATGCCTTAATGGCGTGTTATAGAAAGTTAAATACCCAGTCCTGCCGGGGACAACAGGATTCCCACCCGCCGCCTTTGCCTCTAGACGGGGTTGGTTGTGTGTGCTCGCGCACAAGAACGTACCTACGTTTACCTGGTTGTCGCTGTCCGGGTCACTCAACCGTAGTCCTCGTTTGCCGTGACCAACGACGACGATTTCCAACGGTTATTTTGCCCTGCCTATTGGTTATGAGATGGTAGGACTTCCGGCAATCAAGTGATAATTTGACTAAAGACGAATAAATTTCCTTAACGTAGGAGGTTTTTACCGCACGACTAAGATGACGTCAGCGCAACATCTGCGCGTGTCACCGACTATAATGATTTCCTGTTCTACTCTCGAAATAAGTAGACTACTGTTTCTCTTAGAAAAACTTTTCATGCAACAAAACCTATTTGTTGTGAGGACAAAGATTCGATATAATAAAAAAAAAAAAGCCCTCTGAACTTAGCTACTTAAAAGACGTTCTTAAATTAATGAGTTTTTAAATTTAAAAGACTTAAGTCAGGATGTACCCAAAGCCAAAAGGTTAAGGTTCGCAAATACCAAGTTTTTAACATAGCAAAAACAGAAATTGACGACTTCCACAATTAGTGAAAAATTGAGGTAATTTTTAGTTTCTCTTAACGTAAAAGTATTTGAAAAATGTCTGCCAACACCCCACCTTATAAAAAAAAAAAAAAAGACAAAAAACACTAACTTCATTGTTCAAGAGTAGAAATATTTGAATACCAGATTACTTATAAAAATCTATTTAATAGAAAAAAATCTAGACAATTTAACTAGATTACTCAGACGTGGTTCTAGATAGTAAAACGAATGTGTTCGCTATTCATTAAGTACCAATCACGAAGTTGCTACATTGAAAATTTAAAGTTAAAATTTGTAATTTTTTTTAATATTTTGACTTATCTAGCTTAAGTTTAAGGAATTGATTACATTAGAGATTTAAAAAGGTTAAGAATCTCTTAACCATTGTCTGCCTTTACTATTCAGGTTTCCAGAAGTTATTTCTGAAACACTATAGAGACCCTGTTAAGGGAATTGTGATTCTTTGTTCCAGTTGAAATCAGTTTTGTTTGATTTGGCAATGATAAAGTCCTACTTTATTCACGCTCCCCCAAACGAGTACAATTCAGTTCATGTCAAAGTTTTGAGAGATCAGTTGTAATTGTACGCTTAAATTATTGATTTGAATGTCGACGTAATACAGGATTACTTCAGAGTTATTTCCATCGGGTTTCTTGGAAGAAAAAAAAAAAAAAATGAAAACTTAAACCAGGAAATGACAACTTTAATGAATTATTGCGTAATAAATTTTCTATTTTTCACAAGTTCTCCTGTAAGCTTACTTGTTAACATGAATTTAAAGACAAAAGCCTGAAAGGAAAAGAAGTTTTGCAAAAGTGAATATACATATCCACAGAAGGAAACAGTACAGAATTTTAAAACTAAGTGAATACAAAATTAAGTGCTTAATTTTACATTAGTTTACAAACATCGAACAATTTGGCTAATTTTGAAAGATTTACTCATTCAATTACAGCTGCCAGTAAATTTTCTAATGAATGAATTTAAAGTTTCAAGTACGACTCAAGTCAAACAAGTCGAAGTCAACGTTTGTAAGTTGATAACAAATTTAAAAATTCATTTTAAAAGGTTTTTTTTTTTAATAAGGTTTTCATATAATGAAAGAATTGGTTGGTATAACAGTCTAGAAGAATGAAGTTTTAGCGTAAAATAAAAATTCATTTGAATGTAGGCCTTTTTCAGATTCTGGATTACGAAATATGTTCGACGTAATTTTAAGGTGAAGGCATGACGCAAGATCTTTATGCAACAGATTTGATTTAAATCAGTTTTCATGCATCGTTTCCTCCAGCAAAGCAGAGACACAGAAAAGGATTACATTTCTGAATGAAAAATTGTCTAGTTTTATAAACTATTTTATCAAGCTTAAGAGGAATTGGTTCCAAGCCAAAACCGTATTTTAACATTTAGAGAACAAAACCAGTTATTCCTTTGATGAAGATCACAAATAGACTAGAAAAAATAAAGACGTTTTCATTTCATTTTATTTTTTTTTTAATTTTTCATAATTTTCTTGAAGATCTAACATTTGAAGTTCTGTCTCCCGAAAGACAAACATTGAAATAACCAAGTGATAAGCAGTGTAAAATGTTCCGAGTGGTAATTACTAAAACAATTTCTAATTGTAAAACAATTAATACAGAGTATACAACCTGATGGCTGAGTGGACGGAATATTCCGCAATTATAAGATGACCAGAGTCGCAAATTGTTATGCCGTGTGGCCGAAGGATACCGTCAATTTCAGTCAATATAGTTGCTTCTAACTGACCATCAGCAGTTAATCGTATTATTTCCCGATTCAGGCGATCGGCTAAGTATATTCGACCGAATTTATCCACAGTGACTCCAGTTAAGGAACTGTGCCCTGAATTCCCATGATCGTTCTTTTTATAAACAAACTTTATATCACCTGAAGTAATATCAAGAGAGATCAGTTGACCATTGCCCATGTCAGACACAAGAACGTTCCACATATTGGTTAGAGTCAAATAGTCCGGCCAGTGAAGACCACAAGATAAATTTTCATTGGTAAAGGTCCGTAGAACGTTACCTTTGCAGTCTATGATATCAAGACAAGGCCTCCAATCCATGGTGGAACAAATTAATTGGTCCAAGTCTCGAAGACATGCAATTGCCGTATAGCATTTCGAGGTAGTTACCACCCTTTCCACTCTCATACTTTCCACATGTCGAAGTATAATCAATTTGCAGCATTTCTGTAAAGAAATGACAACTTCTACTTTTGAGAAATTGTCAATTCGTGCCGGGTAATTGGAAAGTCTAGCAAAACCGAATAGCTGGCCATAAGGAGAATATTTTTTTACTTTACAGTTGGCCACATCCGTGGCGATGATGCAACCATCGGCACTTACAGTCAGGTCGGAGAAGGCGCAGTCTTTGTCCCAGTCTCCTGTTAGAATGTTCTGCCATTCCCAACGACAACCTTTGGGTTTGACATGGAGTGAAAAGATTCCGGGATCCGTCCTCAAGACTGCATGGGGGACAAAATTTCGACATATGTCACGGCCGGCCACTTCAAGATCGACGGCTGACAAAGACAAGACTCTAAAACCATCAGAGATATCTTCGGGGAGGGCTCGCATGTCAGAAAAGTAAGCCCATTGCTTGTTTAGATCCATCGACGGAGATGTGGCGGTGTATAGTGGGAATCCGTGCCTTTGTAATAGCGTTCCAGTTCGGTAAACGGGGCTCAAATTAAGCAGATTATCATCATTGACAAACGTATGCTGCCTACAGCGTGGACAGGGAAACTGTGGACCCAGAGACAGGCTGTACGACTGAACGCATTGGTCACACACAAGGCAGCCACACATGAGAATTTGGAACACGGAACGTTGATGATTTTGTCTTTGACAACAATGCAATTGATTGACGAGATCTGTAGAAGGCTCCGCGTTCATTATAATTTACAGTTTGGCTGCTCTAGGAAGCGTCTCTGATGCCGACTGCCACTTTGGTTTTTCGCTTCCTGTTTCTTTCTTGCAGTCAAACCTGGAATTCGTGTTGCCCAAATGCTTCTCGCGAAAGCCAACGTTTTCTCCCGAACTGTTTAATTGTCTTAGCCCTGTCTTGTGATCGAGTCGTACATCAATGATTGGATGCCGGTAAAAAGAAATTTAAATTAGTACCCATTACGTCCAATGAGATAGCATCAAGAAAATTAAACCGTTTTTTTTTCTTTTCTTTCTTCTCCCCTCCCCTGTCCTCCCTCTCCCACTCCTTCTTCTTCCCACCTTCTTCTCCCATACACCTCCTTCTTCTCCCCTCTCCTTTCCTCCCAAAACTATCCCACCTCTCTTTTCTCTTTCAACGCCTGTATATAATTTCCTACCAAGAGTACGCAGGTCTGCAAGTCATATATTCTGTTGATATTTATTGTGATTTTATACACAATTGTGGCACAAGGCCGAAAAAAAAGAGGAAAGGTTAAGGCTGGTCATCACTAACTATCTTATACCTAGCTAATCCGATTCACGACCCATTCACTCATTACAATTTGCCCATTCACCACAAAAACTCGTCCGTTACCAATCATATTTACCAAATACTCACAGTAGAACGTACTAAAATCCAAGGATATAAAAAATAATTGGTATATTTACACTTTTTATTACAAAATTATATAAAATGATGTATCCTGAAATAAGAGGAGCGGTAATGATCCCAATAACGAAAGTAAAAAAATAAAAATAAAATATTTAAACTAAAATGTTAGTAGGATCCATTCATCCCAAATAAAATTAAGAGTGGTCGCTGTATTCTGTCAATAGGCAAAATAAAGACGCTCATCCACTAAAGGTGAAGGAAGGACAAAATAAATTGCGGAATGGGGAAAATCAAAAGCTGACCTAGTCAAGATGAAAATAAACGGAGAAGATTGGGAATCTTGACAAGGACCATAACAAAAACGAACGCTGCCGGCCATATATGCTGGATAGTGAGTTTGAGTATCACGAGGAGTGAAAAATAAAATAATCAGCTAGAACAATACTTTCCATTTTTCATTTGTGTACTGATACCTTTCATTAAAGTATTGCTTTCGCTATTTTCAAATAAAGAATTAAGACTGAAACCATTTTTTATTTTCGGTTAGTGTTAATTCGTCTCTTTAGTAAATTATTCATGGCATCCAGAAACACTTGTGAAACTCTTGTTATCACAAACACCATAATGAGTCTTGAGCCTTTCTTTTGTACACGGAGTAAATACGGACTATTTACATACTTACGTATTTATTGTTTGAGTCTATCTAAAAGCTAGAATCTTCAATAGTTGTTTTTTTAAGCAAGACAGACTCTTTCTCCATGGAAGTTTGGCGCAATATGATTTTACTTCATTTGCTGTACTTAAATCATCTTAGTAAATATAATCTACAGAATGGATTCGCAAATTTATAGTAAATTTTATTTTACAGACTCTAAATGCAATTGCGAAAAAAATGTTGATTTATTGCATATAAAATACAATTGTGGCACAAGGCCTAAAATGGGGGGGGGAATCAGTTGAGTTTGGCCGTCACTTACTATCTTATACCTAGCTAATCAGATTCACGACCCGTTCATTTATTACAATTTACACATCCACCAAAAGAACTTATCCATCATCATTCAATCCTCCATATACAACAATACTGCATACTCTCAAGGGACCTACAAAAAAAAACAAACAAACCATGGCATAAAAATTTAATGAGCACAAAATCTATATATAAAAATCTATTTATGATACACAATGAGGGGGTGAGGATGAATCTCAAAACAAACTAAAATATCAAATCAAAAACACAAAAATAAGGATAACTGAGGTTAGTTAGACCCGTCAAACTCTCAAAAGAATTAAGAGAGGCCTCTGTATTTAGTCTTCAGACAATATGAAGAGGCTCTCCCACTAAGGGAGAGGAAAGGATAAAATAAATACAGCCATGGGGGAAAAATGCTGATCCAGTCGAAATGAAAAAAAAAGGGGCTAATTGCAAAAAATTGCACTTCTCAAGTACATTTAACCAACACTTTCTTGGGTATATTCACATACTTGCCATTTTGTCTACCCACGTTTATCAATAAAAAAATTATCCGGTAATTGATAATTTTCCGCATTCCAGCGTTTAATGGGATAAACTTTACAAAATACGATTGAAAAATTGGATTAGCAAAGAATTTCTAAACAGGAAATAAATTCGCGTGGGTTACATCGATTGAGGATTGAACTCGTAAAGATTTATTTATAAATTAATCAAGCTAAACAAGCGGTTTTGGTTAAGAAAATTTTGAAAATTGTCTTTCTTGATTTGTGCGAACAAAAGTTTCAAGAGTAAATTTTAAAATACTCTAAATATTTAACTCGTGTCTTAACATCCGTTTGTTCACCGTCCTGGGTAAGACGATAAACTACATCCGACAGCAAGGCCTCTGATCAGGAGGTTTTGAGGAGCGGGGAACCACCTCTTAATTGTTGGTGTTCTCAGATCCACCCTGACTCGGGGTGATAGCAATTGCTAGGGCCCCAGCTATGAGCAAATAGTTCTCCCCAAACTGGGGTCAAAACAATATGAAAGTGTAAAAATACCAGAAATACTTTGTTAAAAAATTATTACCAGCAATAAATTTTTGAAGAAAAAGTTATTACCAGCAATACATTAAAAATATATTACCAGCAATACATTTTTGAAGATAAAATGTTACCAGCAATAGATTTTTGAAAAATAAAAGGTTATCAGAAATAGATTTTTTGAAGGAAAAAATATTACCAGCAATAAAAATTGTCGGTATTAAATAACCCATTGAGGTTGATATGTCGTAAAACAAACCAAACCAAACCAAACCGTTTGTTACTTCTGAAAAAATAAGGAGTCCTACCAGGATTTATTATTAGTGGGCACAATCTTAACTACATAAGATATGCAAATGATACATTGTTGATAGCAGACAGAGAAAGGAAACTACAGGAACATCTATAGAAGGTAATAAAGGAAAGCAAGAAGAAAGGACTAAACACTAATTGTGAGGAGACAGAATTCATGGTTGTCAATAAAAGAAACAGCCTAAGATGCGAATTAAAAATTGGAGATACCAAAATCAAACAAGTAGAGCAATTTAGATATCTAAGAATTGTTTTAACAGTGGACGGAACATGTGACACCGAAATCCAAAGCACATTGGGATAGCGAAAGATGTCTTCCAAAAGCTAAGCAAAGTATTAAGAAACACGAAAATGTCATTACAAACGAAGAAAAGAGTACTGAATTGTTATATCGTATGGAAGTGAATTCTGAAGAGTCTCATCACAGATGGAAAAGAGAACTGAGACAGCAGGAGTGTGGCTCTACAGAAGGATGATGAGAATACCATGAACTGAACATGTGAGCAACGACGAAGTTTTAGAGGTAATGGAAACAAAAGTACAATTATATGTAGCATCAGAAAGAGACAGTTGAAATTTCTAGGACATATAATGAGGAAAGAAGGCTTAGAAAATTTGACACTCACACGACATATTAAAGTCAAGAGGGACAGAGGAAAGCAGCGCATAACCCCTGCCAAACGAGCATGTGTGAATGGTTGGCAGAACAGGGATTAGGAGACATAGTAAAAAGACAAATTTTACTAAGGGTTACAAATTACAGGAAGTTGTCGAGAGTTATTATCACCCACGTAGGAGTATTTTTACAACATATACTGTAGCGCTTAAGAAATCATCAAATTATCATTAAAATTGCGGAGGAGGAAGAGAAGAGCTCCCTAAATAGATTAACTAACAAGAAAGGAGCCACATAGACTGACGGAGTCGAGGTCCATTTTGAAGTTTTTCTTCTAGACTGGTCGCCACCCAAGGCAACCAAGTAAATTATACTCATGTTATTCTTACGTTGTCACAATATTTTTATGACTTTTACCGAATTTTCCAAGTTTTACCCTGTCCTGTGTATGACGATAAACTACATCCGCGTCCTGGGTATGACGATAAATTACATCCTCGTCCAGGGTAAGACGATAAACTACGTCCAACAGCAAGAGGTTTTGAGGAGCGTGGAACCACCTCTGAATTGCTAGTGTTCCCAGGTTCACTCAGACCCAGGGTGGTAGCACCTGTTAGGGTCCCAGCTATAGTTAACCTCGAAACTGAGGTAAAAAGCATTATGAAAGTGTAAAACTAAATTTTAATATCAGAAATACTTTGTAAAAAATTATTACCAGAAATAAATTTTTGAAGAAGAAAAACTATTACCAGCAATACGTTTTTGAAAAAAAAATATTACCAGCAATACATTTTTTAAAGTCATATTACCAGCTAAACATTTTTGAGAAAAAAATATTACCAGAAATAGATTTTTGACAAATCAAAAATATTACCAGGAAAAAAAAAGTTGTCGGCATTCAATGACCCATTGAGGTGTTGATATGCCGTAAAACAAAACAAACCAAACAAACTAAAGCAAGTTTTCCATTATTAACAACTTTACTGAAACTGCAAAAGATTTATTTTGTAATTAAAATAATAATAATTATAAAATGTACAAAATATTTACAAATACAAATGTTTTAATAAAAATTAAAAGCAATCTCAAATACATCAAAACTATAACAACAACATTACTGTGAAATTTTCCATGTTGGGAAACTAGTTTTACAGGGTGCCGAGTAAAAAAAAAAGCGGCAAATTTATTATCATTGTTTTATCTTTCAGGAATAATTGGCCTTGAATAACCTTGAATAAATTTCTTGAATATTTATAATCTTGAATAAAGCTACTGCTTCCTGGTTACCATGCTTACAACTTTGTGTTGAATATTCTGGCATACATTTCGAACATCTACGATGATTGTTCAGTTTGTGCATAAATCATGATAGCTAAATAAATTTATAATGGAATTTACCGCTTTTTTACTAGAAACCCTGTAGAAGTTGTTCATCCATAGATTTTGTGAGTCGCTGTATTTCTTCATATTAAAAAAAAACTTCACTTTATTCAGAATAAAATTCCAAAGTTCATCTATGTAGCTAAACGCCTTTCTCTTGTAGCTTTGTTTTTGTCATGTTCCTTACGGGGGAGTTGTCTTAACGGTTGTTTTGTTGCCTGTTCGCTCGTGTCAGATTTCAAACATTTCTGCCTGATAATTCTTCACTTCTTTATTTGTCTGATAGTCGATTTGGCGGGTTTTTTTTGTTTTCGCCTGTTTGTTATTGTTGGGGGGTATTAATTTTAGCTTATTCGCTTCTTACCTGACTTCAACCATCCTTGCTTTTCGTGTTTCTGGGTACAAGAGATATTGTCTTTTACCAGGGACTGTGGCATTTTGGGGTCATTTGGGACGGTGGGGGGGGCAGGTGATCCGTCTGTCTGTAAATCCAAACAGTGTTCCAACGTCGTTCCATTACCGCTGACAGCTGGTGCTCCTGACAGAGCAAAATTTTGGGAATGTTACAGAAGTCTCTCCGATGAGGAAGACACACATGACGTAGTTTAAAAACTTCAAGAAGGATGCAATTTGGACAATTATGATATTTTTACCGTGATTTTATTTTAAGAATGCAATTTCATTCTGTGTAATTGGTTCAACATTTAATAGGGTCATTTGAAACAAAATCTTTCAAATTCAAAAGCAAATCAAATGTACTAGTAACAATTTCTGTGGATCATTTTAACCAAGAAGACATTAAAATAAGTCACTGGTAGGTAATAACCCAAAACGATTTTTAATGACCATTGATGAATCTCTCCTGCTTAACCAAGGCAACTTCTGAATGTTTCTTAGATTATAGGTACAATCATATGTGTCATTTACTTATTGTGCCTGCAAAATTCCAAATATCTCAAAATATATATCGTGTAAGCATTTGTCTCCTCTCTATATAAAATTCTGTGTCTTTCTGTCCGTCCGTCACACCCTCTAAAATAGCCATACATTGACTACTAAAAATGTTAGCCATAACTTCAACAATACTAAATACTGTAAGGATTTCAACACGCCTCAGCTTGTTGCTAAAAAATTCTAGTTACGAGAAAATTTCTTTCTGAAATAAATCGTGCAAACGAAAAACAATCAGTAAATATTTAAACAATAAGAGGGATGGAATCTGTTTCTAATATTGTGATTTTAAACATGTTGACATCACAAAAAATATCATTTTAAACATGCTGACATCACAAAAAATATCATTTTGAACATGCTGACATCACAAAAATATCATTTTAAACATGCTGACATCACAAAAAATATCATTTTAAACATGCTGACATCACAAAAAATATCATTTTAAACATACTGATATCATAACAAAAAATTTATAATGTCAGTACTAAACAGGAAAGCATTTTATACAGCAAAAATGTAGAAAGACTTAAAAGAAATTCTTTAAAATGATAAATGTTTAGTGCCAAAATGAAGAGATGGAAGAAGCTCTTGTTAAATAAATGGTCGCAAAAAACTCAAGTAAATGAAAAGACAAGAACGATTCTTGCATATATAAAAACGTAAAGAAAAAATATTCAAAAGAAAATATTGCATTTTTATAAAATAAGTACTTCGTATTTTAATCATTAAATTGTTTTTAAAATGTTAGAATTAATTTTTTTGTTAAATAATAAAACTTCTAATTTAAAAAAATTGAAAGAATATTTATACTGTTACCCAATTATTTTACACACGTATTTATGTTACAAGTTGTAAGAAGGCTATACTGATTACTAAGTAAAAGAATTCAACTTTTCTTCCCATTATGAATGGTATTTTTTTTAATCAGTTCATCATAGATTTTTTAACGATATTCATCTACAGTACCATTGAGCCATACCTGACAGTGCATTTATTAATATTCATATAGACATGACTTGCTTTAGGTCAAACAGAAAATGAAGATGTAAATTTGTTTATTATCTTCCATCCAAGCGATAAAGAAATGACCTAACCATGTTTAAATGTTATATATTAATTCGAAAATATTACAAACACATGAATATATGAGTTTAATCATGCAATGCCAAAAGGCAAAACATGCAACAGAAATACGCTTAATTGAAATTTCTAATTAGCTTACACAAAAGAAAGCTAGTTATTAATAAGTTGTTAACTAGCAAACAAACAAATACACACACACACACACACACACACACACACACACACACACATATATATATATATATATATATATATATATATATATATATATATATATATATATATATATACTGAAAAATATCTTGGGAGTATATATGCATTTACATCAATGTAAATGAAATGACTTCTAATGATCTTATTAGAGAAATACATTGGAAATTAGGAAAATAAAATTATTTTTAATAAGCAGGAATTAATTCATGATTTCTAATAGACTAGAGCTATTATATTAATAACTAGTTTACCCGTCCTTAAAATGCTGAAGTAATTTTGTATTAGAACTGTAGAAATTTTTTATCTATAAAATTAACAATAGCGTCACACGTAAGAAGAATTATTTTCAAAATCATTAAAAGTAAAATATCTAAGGAAAGAAATAAAATTAATGCATTAGCAGTCTGATCTCCCGTACTTAGTAATAAAATATTATTTTGTTATCTATCGAGTAATGCTATCTGTTACAATAGCATAAAGTATATTTCATTACTAAGAAGAGATCAAGTTATATGTCCGATAAATTAGTGACGAAGGGTCCACGTATGCCTTAGATTTATTTCAGGGTTAAACAAATTTTGTGTAATAAAAACTAATTTTTACTATCCCTTTTGTACTCGTGATTATTTTTAAAACTTCCCATTTCTCAGGATACATTATAAACAAAGGACATTAGAGTATTGTAAGCAGAGAAGGTTCTGCTTTTGTATACCAGTCCCGCACTAGCTGTACACATAGGCATAGAGAACGTGAAAGAACCGATTGAAAGAAGGTTGAAGGGTTAAAGCTAAATAAACGAGAAAAGTAAAAAAAAAAAAAAAAAAAAAAATGAAATTAGCTATTGCTTTTTATTCTCAACATGAGATTGAATAATTCCAGTTTTCATTTCCTTAAATAAAGATCTTTTAAAGAGGTAGAAAGCTCGATTGCTGTACGGATTCATTTTTACAAGTGATCGTATAATTTGCCGAAACAAAAGGAAAAAAATTATTAATTTATAAACAAATATTTTAAAGATTTTATTGGGGTACAAAATTTAATAACCGCCATAAATAGACAAAATTTAATTTTTATTACTACTCATGATAACAATTAAAAGAAAAAGAAGAGTGAAAAACGAGCTAGCTAAACGGTTTCGAACCTCGCTCTTGTCCTGGGCCTCCAATTAATTTCCATTTAAAAATTTGTTTCCCTTACATATTGTCCATCTTTTTATTGATGATTATACCTTTATTACCCTGAATTTAACTCGGTGCAGCGTGGTCCGAAACCGTTTAGCTAGCTTGTTCTTCATTTTTTTTCCCTTTTAATTGTTATTATGATTGGTTATAAAAAAAATCATGTTTTTAAATACATCGTTATTTGTTGAGTTAATAATTTTCTTATATTTCTCTGGCAACCATTAACGATTATCATGAACTGCATGCTCCGATTTCACGTTCAGCTTTCGCCACTGCGATAAATATATATAAAGACACTCCAAATCTGTTTTCACTTAGAACCAGCTTAATAAATTAGCACAAACGTGGAAAGTAAATAAACAATACTGCATAATGACATACAGATTAGCATGACTTGAAAGAGGAGTTCAGCAGGGGAGAACATTGTCGGGATCGAACTCGCGATGTTTTCGAGACTAGCTCGCTAGGATCACTCTACGGGGATGCCCTAGACACTTAATAATTTTAGTCTGTATCAATGCTTTAATAGAAAAGCAACCAGTTAGGATTTTACTCGGTAATAATAGTTTGCAAAACATAACACTCTAAGGCAGACAACAATAGGAAAAGATGTATTTGCAAACAATGAATGCTTACATAATAATAAAAAGAAAGCGGTGATTATTTTCTGTATATATACCTTTCTAAAGTGACTCACTCTGAATTTCATCATTAAATAATTGCTGCAGATATTATTTTCCTGTCTTTTTTAATGCTGCTGATATGTTGTTACTAAAAGAATTTTTTTCGTTAGTTTTATTCTTTTGGTGGTAAATCTTACACGTCGCTTTTGGGCTTCATTAACCACATGCAATGATCTCTAAAACTAAAATCATCATTTCGCTATTTCATTTTTCTACTTTCTCAAAGTCGTCCCATTCGATGACGTTTCATTCGTTTTCCCTGCGATTCTATTTGCATTTCTTGAGAATTGTTGCTTTCTCATTTATTCTCTGTCACTCAGGCGCCGATTACAGTCTTCAGCAGTTCTCGCCTCCTACCGACATCATTTCTCTCTTCATTACAAACGCCGATCACAGCTGTCGGCCTTCTTACAGTTTCTCTTACGTTTCTTTAGTAACACGACTGGTCAAGAAGTTAGTTTGTAAGCAGCTCTGTCTTGTGCTGTAAAAATATTGGATGTCTGTCGCCATCTTGGAAAGACTTGGACGGCGCGTGCAACAAACGCTACCGATTTTATCGCTGTTCTTATTTTTACAAGGAAAGAAGATTACATTCTTGCGTAGAATTTAAGTGATACACATGCTTTTGAAGATGCCAGAAAAAAATGGAAATATGCCATTAACTCTTACTCAAATTCCTACCTTTTACTTGCTTGCCACCCCAATTTTGTGTTTACATTTATAACTCATGGGTATCGCAAATTTTTCGACGGAAAAATTCGTCTTAGATTGGCTTATACGATGAAAATTATTTATTTTTCAAGAGTGAAATTGAAAGAAAAAATGAATCAAAAACTGTTTTTAAAGACATTTTTGTTTGAAATCTATAAAAATAATTTAGGTTTTCTTATTTTGGCTTTGGGAAATTATTGACCCCGAAATTCGTTGGCTTTTTAATTGAATATATGAGATTTCTTCATTTTATTTTTGACATGAATTTTATGGGATATAAAATAAAACATTCTGCCAACTTCAGAGTCTCGCTTTCTGAAAGTATTTATCTTTCTCAACAAGAACTGCTCCGAGTGGTTTTTACGATCTCTCAATTGATTTAATTTCTTTTCATTCTAAACAAACTGGAATAAATAGTAGTCTGAAGGTAAAATATCTTATGAATAATGTCTTTGAGTGAAAACATCAAGACTAAATTGTAAGAATATTTCTTTGATCACCAAAGGAACATGCAGTCAGTGTAGCTGACGAGGTATCTTTAGAGATGAAGAGGGGAACGAGAATAATCTATCTCTAGAGATTTAATAAAGTGTTCAGTCTGAAATTTCTAGAAAGTTGTTCAGATCGAGAAACATCTGAAGAAGGCTGGAGAGCACAACGCCGAAATATTACTGTAATAACAACAAAATGAGGATATCAGTTTGGCTTGAAATAATGTAAACAGTAAGAAAATATATTCGTATGTTCACAGAAAATATATTTTATTTTATAAGATATTCAGTTGTCCTATTCAAGGTACAGCTTTAATGTGAAACTCTAGATTTTATCTCCACCTAGGATGGAGAGGTTGATCATTTAGCCAATGGGTATTTATTTGCAGGCCACTGGAACTGAATGTGCCAAAAGGTTGTGTTTATTGAAGGAATTCCACTCCTACATGGGATTAGTAACAAAAATTGATCAACATAGACATCCATATCAGTGAAGCCAATTATGTGACCGTTCAAGCTTACTTGAGCCTGGACGTTGCCTTACATTCGTTCTGGAAGACGCACAAGTTTTTTTCCGGATATTTTTTAGGAAAAAAAGTGCGGATAATACCGGAAGCCGGAAAATACGGTATAACTTAATCAACTAAGGCTGAGTGGTATGAAAATGCATCTACAATGAGTTTAGCATCTCTTTTGTCAATGTAGAAATATCTGTTATAGTAAATTTCATAGCTACACAACATGTAGGATTGTAGTTTTAAAAAGTGGCATAATCGCCATTGCCTTTTCTATATGAATTCTGAAAGTTTTAGTCCGGCTGCAGAATCAATCAAAAATCGTAAAGGCTCGTCCAGGTAACCTGTGGTTTAAAAGATTTAAAAATAGCAATTGTGACATATCCGACAAGTTTCCCCTTTAAAAACGAAATACTGTAAATAAAGAACCATGGATTGATCCTAACCTACTAAATATATAATAGTTAATGCCTTGTGGATTTGGCTCCCTGGTGTTGAGCATATTATACATATTTTACTCCGATCAGGAATTAAAAATATATTTATATAAAAGTGAGTGTCTCAGCGTATTGTAAATGTCTGTTTTAAAATTGATGCGCGGACGTCTGCGAAGACATAAGTTCAGTTTGCACTTTTTTTTTTATCAGTTTCATATAAATTCTGTTGCTTTTAAGTTTTATTTTTCTAATTGAATGATAACTCAGCCTCATATGAAGTTGAAATCTTTCATAATTTTATACGATTTCTAAATGATGTACAAATGTTATTACCATAAAAGAAAGGCAATTAATTTTATCCTTAACTATTTTTTATCTCTAAATTTTATTCGATTAGCTTCTGCTGATATAGTACAACCCTAGACAGTATTCTTTATATCCACACCACACACATATACATATACACACATACGCATAGGCACTCACACATATTGGGTTGTTCGGAAAGTAATTACATATTTCACCTCTTTTAATTGCCGTATTTTCCAGCTTATAAGACGCTCCGGCTTGGAAGACGCGCCCTAATATTGGAAAGAAATTTCTTAGAAAAAAAATGTCATTCCCATACAACAACACATTCACCATGCGTCCCTCAAATACTGGCGCCACATATTGTTTACATTAATCACTCATCTGATTTTGTTTGTAGGGGAATGACATACTAGACAAGAGCAGAAAGGTTCCCGCTGCTGATAGTAAACGGAGCATGTTTAAGTTTGTGGCTCGGCTCCAGGAAGATTTATAGTCTTGGAAATACTTAAAACAGTTAAAGTACTGAAGTTACATCATATAAAAGGCTAAATTAGATAGCTAACATTATAGTGTAATGACTCAGCATACACGTCCATATCAAGGCAATTATGTGACCGTTCAAGTTTACTTGAGCCTGGACGTTGCCTTACATTCGTTCTGGAAGACGCACAAGTTTTTTTTCCGGATATTTTTAGGAAAAAAAGTGCGTCTTGTAAGCCGGAAAATACGGTATAACTTAATCAACTAAGGCTGAGTGGTATGAAAATGCATCTACAATGAGTTTAGCATCTCTTTTGTCAATGTAGAAATATCTGTTATAGTAAATTTTATAGCTACACAACATGTAGGATTGTAGTTTTAAAAAGTGGCATAATCGCCATTGCTTACTTTATGAATTCTGAAAGTTTTGGTGCTGATGCAGAGTCAATCAAAAATCGTAAAGGCTCGTCCAGGTAAATTGTGGTTTAAAAGATTTAAAAATAGCAATTGTGACATATCCGACAATTTTCCCTTTTAAAAACGAAATACTGTAAATAAAGAACGTTTCAAGAAAAAAAAAAACTGAATCGGTCGCATGTCGAAGAATCAGAGATTTGACGATCAATCTTAATGGTCATTTTCTAAGCGTAGCTCAGACGTGGCTCAAGGCTGAAAGTATGGTCCACCTAATGAGGATCGAACTCACTATTCGGCCGTAACTGATCTAGCGAGACACGATTCCTAACCATTACACCACGCCGAGGGGCCCATGCAAAGGCTTAATGTGTGACGTTCAATTGTCCGCAAACACACGTACGTGTGTGTGTGTGTTTAAGCATGTTTGGTTGAATAATCGAGGCATTTATTTATTTTTAATTTAATCCTCTCAAATTCACAGATCAATTTTCTTAATGTTGTTATTAAACCCATTAAGGGAGGCACCGTAGTATTTTTCATTTTTTTTATTTTCCCAAGTACTTTCAATCTCAACAAAAGTTCATCTTCAGGGATCAATTGCTGAGACAAAAAATTAATGTAATTGATAGTTGTGATTTTTTTTTGTAAATACGCATGAAATGCGCTCTGTTAATTGAAAAATTAACGTTATCTGAAGGAGGTGACTTAATTTATATTTGCAATGTTTTTTAAAATTACCATTATACGTATTTTAAAACATTGCTATTATAATTGTAATTTAAAAAAATTACAATTTAGGTATTTTAAAACTTTGCTGTTATAGACTCACAATTAATCTTATTTCGTGTTGGTTGTATTTTTCTTATATAGAGGGCCCCAAGTATTTGAAATTTTTGTTTTTAATTTTTATGGTGGAGTATACCTGTATTGTCGATTAATATTCTGCTAAATCGAGAATATGGACAGGAATGTTTTTTTAAATGTTGTACAATAGAGTTTGATTACGACATATGTAATGTAAAACTCCTTGATAATGTTGCCGTTGTGAAAGCAACACATATATTTACTTTTCAGGTCAGAGATACAATCTCCCAAAGTACATATAAATTGATATACATTGCTGGTCTTTTGCAAAACATTACTTGACGGAAAAGAGTTATTGCGAAGGATTAAGTTGGTTGTATTAAATTTAGTGTAGTATATAAATAGTTTTAATTTTTTTACTGGGATCAGCGGGAGATATATGAGTACTTATGAGACTTTTTAGGATTTTTCATCTTGTTTGTAGTTAGAATGCACTTGAATGCGGTATAGTAGGTTGATATGCTTAGAGTTATTTGACGAAGTATTATATTCTTTTTTATGTTAATATTTCTAATAGCACGCCTAATTTGTTCATGTAATTAACAATGTAACTAGGAAAGTCATTATTAGTAAGAGTTTGTTTAATTTTTAATTCAGTGTAGAAAATATTTTTTCAAATAACCCTAAACAACTAGCACAAAAATATCAGATCTCTTCGATAAAATAACGCATAAAAATAAAAAAAGCAAATAAACAAATTCCCCCCAAAATGAAAGAACACTTCATTTTCCATTTTTATTTGTCTCGTTGAGAAATGACACAGTCGTGTTCGAAAATTTCCATTTTAAAATATTTGTTCAATCTGGTCAAAAGATATACCAATATAAAATACATATAATTAGTTTTATGATATTATTATTGTTGCTTTTTTATCTCTCAAATTTCCTCAATTTTCATTAGCCTATTATATATATATATATATATATATATATATATATATATAGGCCAGTGAAACTTGAAGAGAAGAGGAGGAGGCACGAAATGCTTAAAAGAGATGTGCGTAAAGCGTCCTCGTTAAACTTCCTGAAGACACCCGCAGGCAGTACGATCTGACGTGTTTAGATTGTGGTAGAGTGTGTTTGTCGCTGGCTGGTCTAAGGAGTAACATGTGAGTGCACCGACGGATGGTGGCAATTGACTATAAAGCCGTAGACGTCCAGCAACTGAAATGTGATATTTGTGGTAAGACTTGCGGGTCCAGAAACGGTTTCATGCGGCATTTTAAATAGTATGATAATGTAACACCCGCTGTTGCCCTGT